CTCGCCTAGCATGTGTGAGGCACTTGGTTCCATCCTCAGCACCACATAAAGTAAAATAGAGACATTTTTGATTGTGTGGGAAATCATTGCAGTTTTTGTTTTCTATACTCCTGATTCCTCTATTAAAGTCCGTTAAAAAGAAAGAAAAAAAATAGAGACATTGTGTCCACCTATAACTAAAAACAAAAAATAAATTAAATATTTTTTAAAAGTTCAAATTTAGATACAAGGAAAGTAGTATGAGAAAGGAGGTCTGATATACAAGAAGGAATGGTGAGCAAAGAAAATGGTAATTGGGGCTGCGGATGTGGCTCAAGTGGTAGCGCGCTCGCCTGGCATGCATGCGGCCCGGGTGAGATCCTCAGCACCACATACAAACAAAGATGTTGTGTCCGCCGAAAACCAAAAAATAAATATTAAAATTATCTCTCTCTCTCTCTCTCTCTCTCTCTCTCTCTCTCTAAAAAAAAAAAAAAAGTTAATAAAAGGACATTTTAAAAAAAGAAAAAAAATGGTAATCATATGAGTATTTACTCAGATGGTAATCATCTGAGTAAATCTAAACAATTGCTACCCTTATAAAATAATAATGATGATCATTAATATCTTATTTGTGAGATAAAGAAAGATAAAGTAGGACTGGGGATGTGGCTCAAGTGGTAGCACGCTCGCATAGCATGCATGAGGTACTGGGTTCGATTCTTAGCACCACGTTAAAAAAAAAAAACCAAAGATGTTGTGTCTACCTAAAACTAAAAAATAAATATTTTTTTTAAAAAAGATAAAGTATTGGACAACTAGGAGAGTGGTAAATATATTAGTTTTTCATATTTAGATTTTATGTTAATTTCATTTATTTTTAATTTTTTTGTACTGGAGGTTGAACTCTGAGGCACTTAACCACTGAGCCACATTTCCAGCTTTTTTATTTATTTGTTTTTATAGTGAGACAGGGTGTCAGTAAGTGGCTTAGGGCCTTGCTAAATTGGTGAGACTTTGAACTTGCGATCTTCCTGCCTCAGCTTCCTGAGTTGCTGGGATTACAGGTGTGAGCCACCATGCCTGGCTAGATTTTATGTTAATTTTAAATTAATTGCCATGCATAATAAAATGTCACCAGGTAACTTCTGAAAGAAACAAATGCACCAGGCATGGTGGTGCACACCTGTAATCCTACCTACCCAGCAGCTTCGGAGGCTGAGGTTCTTGAATTCAAAGCCAGCCTCAGCAATTTAGCAAGGCCCTAAGTAACTCAGTGAGACCCTGTCTCTAAATAAAATACAGAAGATGACTGGGAATGTGGCTCAGTAGTTAAGCCACCCCTGTTTTCACTCCCCAGTATCAGTAAATAAATCAATGGGAAACAAATGCAGGGGTAGGGGTGTAGCTCAGTGGTAGAGCACTGGGTTCCATCCTTAGCACCACATGAAAAAATAATAAAAGGTATTTTTAAAAAATAAACAAATGCATAACTTCTAAGCTAATAAAAAGGGAAAACAGAATTTTAAAAGATTTTGAAATCTGTGCCACTTTAATTTTTATTTACCTCTGTTTTGCTAAATAACCTCTGTAAGCTTTAGTTTCCTCATTTTTAAGTTGTGGGTTAGTAGTAGTTACTACTACCTTTCTTACAGGGTTGTTATGAAGATATAATCAGGTAAGGGATTAAGAAAGCTTAGCACAATCTCACACGTAAAAATTGTTCAGTGAGGCTCCTTCTTTTGCCACCACCCGCTACCAGAAGAATATAAAAAAGCAGAGTGATTCATATAAGGTGCCCAGAGCTTTTCGCGACTGTCTTCAAGCAGAGAAACTTGGAGATCATTAAGAAGCAGAAAAGGCAAACAAGAAGAAGGAACCCAAATAACTTTGTGGCTGCATATCTAACCCTCTTGCTCTCTGTCTGTGTGCCTGGAACCAGTTCCACCAGGCTCATATTTCCTCTGGTAGTGCTCACAGGTCTCATCATCCATGACATTCCCTTTCCCCTGAATCTGCAGCTGATCCCTTTTATGCTTCCTGTCTCTAAGGTAGCCTCTTTCCCCCTGAGCCACTCCTAGAAATGAGAGGCTTATCCCTTCGGAGTGTTGTTTTGTTTGTTTTTTTTTAATTTTGGGGGAGTGGTTGTTGATAGACCTTTATTTTATTCATTTATTTATATATGGAACTGAGAAATGAACCCAGTACCTCACACATGCAAGGCAAGTGCTCTACCACTGAGCCACAACCCCAGCCCCCTTCACAGTAGTTTTTATTCCTGTGGGGCACAACCCAAAGTATTAAAGTTAGCTTTGTAATTCAATAAATAAATGCTCAATAAATATTAGACATGACTGCTATTGATAAAAGATTATTTTAGGACAACTCTTGCTAATGTGTAAAATCATGCTAGACCCTACCTGCTAACCTTTCACCCAGCTTCTCTCCAAGGACAAAGCTACAGCCAAATACAGCTAAAGAGTATTGAAAAGTTGAGCCAGTTACAGTGGTGCATGCCTGAGGGCTGAGGCAGGAAAGTTGCAAGTTCAAGACCTGCCTCAGCAACTTAGCAAGACCCTGTCTCAAAATTAAAAAAAATAAAGCCGAGTGTTATAGTGCACACCTGTAATCCCAGCAACTCAGGAGGCTGGGGCAGGGGGATTGCAAGTTCAAAGCCAGCCTCAGCAATTTAGTGAGACCCTAACCAACTTAGCAAGACTATGTCTCAAAAAAAATAAATAAATAAAAATAAAAAGGGCTGGGAATGTGGCTCCATGGCTAAGCGCCCCTGGTACCAAAATAATAATAATAACAAAATGAAGAAGAAAAACATAGATGGATGGATGGATAGATAGATAGTAAGTTAATTAGTTCTGGGGATGTAGCTCAGTGGTAGAGCCCCCGGGCTCAATCCCCAGTACCAGAAAATATTGAACAGCTTTGATAACTGATAGATCTTCCTTGTGTTAATCATAACCCTTTCCTTATAATCTTCAGAATTCACTATCTGCCTTTCATTTAAAAGTTCAAAACATCAAAGCTTTTCACACTTGATCCCAACCAACTTGATCTGATAATTTTTCTTTAAACTTTTGAGTTAGAGTCTATAAACATATTTGTGATCTCCCTTCTTGACATTTTGCTAAGGATACCATTTTGAAAAATAAGTAGAACCCACTAGAATCAAAGTGTGGAATATGATATGTCAAGAAATTTGTAATGTTTTGAACAACCCACAATAAAAAATTAAAAAAAAAAAAAAAAAAAGAAAAATAAGTAGAATTTGGATGATTTCTTCCACCTGGAAAACCATCCCTCTTTGCCAGGTTCAACCTATTTATTCTTCAGTCCCCCAGTAAAAGTCCTATAGGAGTTCCCAACTACTCTAAAAGTGATTTATGCCTCTCTTCTACTGCTTTTTCAAATGAATTTTTATTTGCTTTATATTGTAACAATTTTCATCAAGCTTACATGGTTTTCCAGCTAGACTTTTAGCTTCTTAAGACAATAACTTCTTCTGTTTTTTTTAAATGTTTATTTATTTTTTAAATTATAGTTATACAAAATACTTTTATTTTATCTATTATATGTTGTGCTGAGGATCAAACCCAGGGCCCTGCATGTGCTAGCGGGCACTCTACCACTGAGCCACAACCCAACCCTTCTTATGTTTTTATATATTCCCTGTAGCTTCTAAGGAAGAGGAACTAGCATTTAAACACCTCCAATATTCTAGGCACTATGCTAAATGCTTTCTCATATATTTCATCTCATTTAATCCTCACAGCAAGCATGAAAATGGATACTAGTGTCCCCATTTTTCAGATGAGGATATTGCACTTGAGAAAGGTTAAGTAACAAAAAATAAAATAAAATAAAACCACACTTACCAAACTCAAAAAGAAAGAAAGAAAGAAAGGTTAAAATAACATATCCAAGACACCTTAACTAGTCAGTGGGGTTTCTGTAGCTTCCCGTCAGATTAGCCTGCTTGGTTAGAAATGTAATTTCAAGGTAGAGAGCTTGCCTAGCATGTGCAAGGTCCTGGGTTCCATTCCCAGCCCTGGAAAAACAACAACAACAACAAAAATTGTATATAAAGCATATTTAGGGGAAGTAAAAGACCTAAATGGTTTAACTTTTTTCCTTTATGTCGTATTTTTACCCTAGTCTGAAATTTAGTGTATCATGGAAACACTTCTAGAAAGCCAAAATTCTCTGGATGCAGTGGTACATGCCTATAATCCCAGTGGTTTGGGAGGCTGAGGCAGTAGTTTTGCAAGTTCAAAGCCAGCCTCAGCGAGACCTTGTCTCTAAATAAAATACTTTTTTTAAAAAGGGCTGGAGATGTGACTCAGTGGTAAAGGTCCACTGGGTTCAATTCCTGATACCAAAAAAAGAAAAAAAGCTGGGTGTGGTGGTACACACCTATAATAATCCCAGTGGTTTGGGAGGCTGAGATAAGTTGGACAAAGAGTTCAAAGCCAGCCTCAGCAACTTAGCAAGGCCCTAAGAACTCAGTGAGACCCTATCTCTAAGTAAAATATAAAAAGGGCTAGGGAAGTAGCTCAGTACCAAAAACAAAATATATTGGAAAAAAAAAAAGCCAGGGCTGGGATGTGGCTCAAGCGGTAGCGCACTCACCTGGCATGCTTGCGGCCTGGGTTTGATCCTCAGCACCACATACAAACAAAGATGTTGTGTCCGCCGAAAACTAAAAATAAATATTAAAAAAAATTCTAAAAAAAAAAAGTCAAAGTTCTTTTCAAAAATTAAAATTTAGCATGCCAGTTAATTAGCAGCCAAGCTATAGGAATTCACTAAAGAGCTTGAAGTTAGACAGAAAATAATATTTGGGGAAGTTTAGATTAAGGAGATTAAAGAAACATTCCATTGTCTACTTTGCTTTAAGTTCAAGTGATTTGAAATGATTCACAAAAACCACATCTTATACTTAGGATGCTGGCTAGAAGTCAGTACCCATTTCAGAACACTGTTTCTGTTCTTTTCCTCTTTCCTAGGGTTATACATCTTTCTGGAATGACTGTATATCATCTGGCCTGCGAGGGGGCATCCTGATAGAACTAGCCATGCGGGGTCGAATCTCTCTGGAACCCCCCACCATGCGTAAGAAGCGACTACTAGACAGAAAGGTACAGCATCTTCTATGAACATCCTCTAAACTTATGGAAAGGCAAATACCAAGAGTACATTTTGGAAGAATAAGAAGATTTGAATAGTAAGACATGATAAATATCTCTGACTCAGCTGTCCCATGAATAAACAGGTTTAATTTTCCTGTAGCAGAGGGAGTAACCTAACTAACCTTAGTCTAAAGAGTCATAGGGGGTTGGGGGTATAGCTCAATGGTAGAGTGCTTGTCCAGCACATGGGAGGCCCTGGGTTTGATCCTCAGCACCACATAAAATTAAATACATAAGGGTATTGTGTCCATCTACAACTAAAAATATTTTTTTAAAAAAGTCATAGAAAGCTCATGAGTTTTGTCTTTTTTATACAGAAAATTACATTTAGAATGGTGTTATTTCTCCCTCTATTTCTATAGTTATAACATTATGAAATATAATATTATATAGCAGAGGGAATCATCTGAGTGGGTCAGTTTTTTTGGTTATTTTGTGTTCAGTTCTTCCATATACTACAAGTCTATTCCAACATAAAAACTATATTCCTTTTTTTCTTCCGGAATTATATTTCTGTATTCATTTTCTTACTAATTTTTTCTGCTTACAACTTCTAAGCTCTCTTCTAAAACCTACATCCTTAGGTAGAACCAGCTTCCTTTCTTTATTTTTCTCCTTTAACCTGTGTGTGGCATTTGACATTTTTGAGCACCCCCTCCTACTTGAAACTTTCACCATTATTGGTCTTTCTTTATATTGTACTATACCCCATTTCCTTTACTTCTCCATTCCTTAGCATAAAAGTCTCAGTTTGTATTCTGTTATATGATTTTCTATCCTTTTGAAAATACCACTTAACTTTGCAGCTGTATCTATCACCTACGTGAAATTAACTCCCAAATTTCTAGGCATGTCTTATTCATCCTCCAGGAAAATCCTCCTCCTCTTCCTCTTCTTCCTTCTTGTCCTCCACTGCTTTTTTACCTCCTCCTCATCCCCCACCTTTTTCTTTCTTTTTGTTTTACTATTAGGTGTTGAATCCAGGGGTGCTCTAAACTTCCACTGAACTACATCCTGAGCCTTTTTTTTTTTTTTTTTTGTAGTTGTATATGGACAACATGCATTTTTTTTTATTTGTTTATTTTATGCAGGGCTGAGGATTGACTCCAGTACCTCACACATGCTAGGCAAGCACTCTGCCATTGAACTACAGCCCCAGCCCTTCAGCCATTTTTAAAAATTTTATTTTGAGACACCCTTACTAAGGTGCTGAGGGTAGCCTCATACTTGCAATACTCCTGCCTCAGCTTCCCAAGTAGCTGGGGTTGTAGATATATGCTGCCATGCCTGGTTTGTCTGGACAATTCCACTTGGCTGTCCAATATCAGTTAAAACTGTGCTTATTGAGCCTGGTGTGGTGGTGCATGCCTATAATTCCAGCAACTTGGGAGTCTGAGGCAGAAGGATCAAAATTCAAAGCCAGCCTCACTTAACTAACTTGTCAGTGAGGTTCTAAGTAACTTACCAAGACTATCTCCAAAAATAAAAAGAGCTGAAGAGGTAGCTCAGTGGTTAAGGGTCTGTCTCTAGGTTCAATCACTGGTACTAAAAAAAGAAAACCAGATTTATTGGTCCAGGGCTATAGATCAGTGGTAAAGTACTTGCCTACCATGAGCAAGTCCCTGGGTTCAATCTCTAGCACTGTAAAAATTAAAAATAAAATTTTTTTAAAAATCAGCTTTTCTCCAAAACTGGCTTTCTTTCCTGGCTTTTTCCTACCTTTGTTAACAGTTTCACAGGTGGTTGTTCAGACTCAAGGAAATTATTAAATCTTCCCTTCGTTATTATTTATATCTCTTTTGTCTCTAGGGTCCACTTCAAATGTTATTTTTCTCTTCTCCCTAACACATCATATTTTAAACTTTCTTCAGGCTGGGCACAGAGGCACAAGCCTATAATCCCAGTGGCTATGGAGGCTGAGGGAGGAGGATTACAAGTTCAAAGCCAGCTTCCGCAATTTTGCAAGGCCCTAAGCAACTTAGCAAGACCCTGTCTCAAAATAAAAAAATAAAAAGGGCTGGGGATGTGGCTCAGTGGTTAAGCACCCCTAGGTTCATCCCTGGTACCCCCAAAAAACCAAAACCACCTTTTCTCAGGACAGGGAAAAGTGTATTATGAAACTATAGTACTGAAAGATTTTAATTTAAATGAAGTAAACAACTCAAGGTTTTTTGTTTCTTCTTTTCTCAAAGGTGCTGCTAAAGTCAGACAGCCCAACAGGTGATGTTTTACTGGATGAAACTCTCAAACACATCAAAGCAACCGAACCCACAGAAACTGTCCAAACATGGATAGAGCTTCTCACTGGTAAAATTACTCAAAATGATCACAATTCCACACTTGATTATCTTTGTCCTTCTCTTAAGGTTGAGATAAGAAGTACAGAAATTCAACGTGCTGGGTAAGATACATACAAAGCTTCATCTTATGTTCTGCCACCCTCCTCTGAAAAGCTCTTTTAACAGTGTTCTTCACAAGAAATTTTTCTAACATCTTTATTAAGATGATAACCAGAGGGCTGGGGATATAGCTCAGTTGGTAGAGTACTTCCCTCACACACACAAAGCCCTGGGTTAAATCCCCAGAACCACAAAAAAAAAAAGAAGAAAAAGAGATGATAATCAGAATATTGACATTGATACACTCCACCAAAATTGAATTTTTCCCAGTTTTGTTTTATTTATTTTTTTGGTACTAGAGATTGAACCCAGGATGCTTAACCACTGAGTCACATCCCCAGCCCTTTTTGTATTTTATTAGAGACAGGGTCTCACTAAGTTGCTTCTCACCTCACTAAATTGCTGAGGCTGGCTTTGAGCTCATAATCCTCCTGCCTCAGCCTCCTGAGCCACTGGGATTACAGGTATGCATCACCATGGTCAGGGAATTTTTCCCAGTTTTAACTTGACTCTCTTTATTGCCAAATATGCCAAATAGTATTTCATTGTATGAATATACCACATTTATTTATCAGTTCACCAGCTGATGGACAGTTGAGGTATTTTCACTTTTTAGCAATTGTGAATAATGCTGCTGTGAACATACAATACTTATGGCAAGAGAATGTATACTATATGACCAGCAGTTGTACTGCTAGGTATATATCCAAAAGTACTGAAAGCAGGGACCTGATAGGTATTTGAACCCCAATGTTCAAAGTAGCATGTTCATAGTAGTCAAAAGGTGAGAACAACACAAATGTGCATCAGCTGATGAATGAATAAACAAAAATGAATGAATACATACCAAGGAATATTAATCAGTCTTAAAAAGGAATGAGTATGTTTAACCTTTGGGAAACCACCAAACTCTACCATTTTAGAGTTCCACCAGCAACGTACCAAGGTTCTAATTTCTCCATATCCTGGTCAATACTAGTTCTTTTCTGTTTTTTATTCCCCCCCCCCTTTATTATAGCCATTCCATTGGTTTAAAATAATATCTCATTATGATTTTGATTTGCATTTGACAAATGACTGGTGATATGGAGCATCTTTTCATGTGCTTATTGGATGTGTCCAACTTCTTTAGAAAAACATCTATTCAAGCCCTTTTTTTTAAGTTGTAGATGGACACACAGTACCTTAATTTTTATGGTGCTGGGGATCGAACCCAGTGCCTCACACATGCAAGGCAATTGCACTATCATAGAGCTACAGCCCCAGTCCCCTTTTTCATTTTTAAATTGTTTTTGTTGTTGTTGTTGTTGTTATTGGGTTTTAAAGGCTCTTTACATTTTTTTTTTTTTAATGGTGCTGGGTATTGAACCCAGAGACACTCTACCACTAAGCTATATCCCCAGCTCTTATTATTTATTACATTACTATATTATAATAATTATTATTATTTTTATTTTGGTACTGGAGATTGAATCTAAGGATGCTTTTAACCCTGAGCTACATTCCCATCTCTTTTTATTTATTTTGAGACAGGATCTCACTAACTTGCTTAGGGCCTCACTAATATGCTAAGGCTGGCCTCGAACTTGTGATCTTCCCATCTCAGCCTCCCTAGACACTGGGATTACAAGCATGTGCCACCCACTGCACCCAGCTTTTTTTTTTTTCTCTCTCTTTTTTTGAGATAAGTCTCACTAAGTTGCTTAGGGCCTTCAAATTTGCTAAGGTTGCCTTTGAACTTGTGATCCTTCTGCCTTAGCTGGGATTATAGGCGTGCACCATCATACCCAGTTTAGAAGTTCTTTTATCAATCCTTTATCAAATGTATAATTTGCAGATATTTTCATGGATGACAATATTCTTATTTTCTTGATTATACCCTTTAATGTACAAAAGTTCTTAATTTTGATAAAGATCAATTATTTTTGCTCTTATTGCTTGTGTGAAATCATTGCTAAATTCAGTTTAAAGAATATTTTTCCTGTTTTCTTCTAAGAGTATTAAATTTTAGTCCTTGAGATCTTTTTTTGTTTGTTTGTTTTGGTGCCGAGGAATTGAATCCAGTACCTCATGTGTGCTAGGCAAAAAGCACTATATCACTGAGCTCCATCGCCAGATTCACTGATTTCATTTTAAGTTAATAAAAATTACCATATATGGTGCAAAATAAAGGTGTATCTTCATTCTTGTGCATGTGGATATCAGCTGCGTTCTGATTTCTCAGCACTTTTTATTGAGAAAAAAAAAAAAAAAACTGTACTTGTTGAATGGTCTTGGCAGCATTGTTAAAAACCAAGTGATCAAGGTCTGGGGCTGTAGCTAAGTATCTGAGTGCTCTCCTACCAGGTGTGAGGCAAATCCTTAGCACTGAATAAAAAATAAACAAAAAAAGTTATCAGCTAGGTGTGATGGTGCATGCCTATGATCCCAGTGACTCAGGAGGCTGAGTCAGGAGGATTGCAAGTTTGAGGCCAGACTCAGCAATTCAGGGGGTCCTAAGCAATTTAGTAAGACCCTGTCTCAAAATAAAAACTAAAAAAAAAAGGCTGGGGATGTGGCTCAAGCGGTAGCGCACTCGCCTGGCATGCATGGGGCGCTGGGTTCCATCCTCAGCACCACATAAAAAAAAAAAAGGATAAAATAAAGATGTTGTGTCCATCTTAAATATTAAAAATAATAATAATAATAAAAAATAAAAAGATCTGTGGATGTGGCTCAGTAGTTAAATGCCCCTACTACCCAAAAAAGGAAAAAAATAAAATAAAAATTGACCAAGCCAAATGTGGTGTCAGACATCTGTGGTCCCAGCTGTTCAGGAGACTGAAGCAGAGGGATGCTTGAGTCTAAAAGTTCAAGGCCAGCTTGGGCAACATAACATAGCAAGACCCCAGCTTTTAAAAAAAAAAAGTAAATCAATCATATATGTGAAGGTTTATTTCTGGGCTCTGTATTATATTGCTTTGGTCTATATGTCTGTCTGAATGTTGTATCATACTGTTTTAATTACTATAGCTTTTTAGTAAGTTTCTAAGGTAGGAAGTGTGATTCTACCAACTTCATTCTTTTTGAAGAATGTTTGGGCTACTCTGGGCCCTTTGCAATTCTAAATGAATTTGAGGAATGGCTCTTCCATTTCTTCAGAAAAGACTCTTAGAATCTGATGGGACCTGTGTTGAACTTGTAGATCACTTTGAATAGTATTGATATCTTAATAATGTTAATGTTAATATTCATTAATATGGGATATCTTCCCATTTTTCAGTCTTCTTTAATTTCTTTTTAAGAGAGAGAGAGAGAGAATTTTAATATTTTTTAGTTTTTGGTGGACACAACATCTTTGTTTGTATGTGGTGCTGAGGATCTCACCCGGGCCGCACGCATGCCAGGCAAGCGCGCTACCACTTGAGCCACATCCTCAGCCCAAATTTCTTTTTTTTTTTAATATTTATTTTTTAGTTGCAATTGGACACAATACCTTCATTTCATTTATTTATTTTTATGTAGTGCTGAGGAATGAATCCAGGGCCTCACACGTGCTAGGCTAGCACTCTACCTCTGAGCCTCAAACCCAGCCCTTCTTTAATTTCTTTTAGCAATGTTTTGTGGTTTTCAGTGTACAAATCTTTTTTTTTATTTTTTTAGTTATAAATGGACACAATACTTTTATTTATTTTTATGTGATGCTGAGGATTAAATCCAGTACCTCGCACATGCTAGGCAAGTGCTCCACCACTGAACTACAACCGTGCCCTCAGTGTACAAATCTTTCATCCCTGTGGTTCAGCTTATTCCTAAGCATTTTTTTTTTTTGAGATGCTATTGGAAATGGAATTGCTTTCTTTTTTCTTTTTAATATTTGTCTTTTAGTTGTAGTTGGACACAATATCTTTATTTTATTTATTTTTTTTATGTTGTGCTGAGGATCGAACCCAGGGGCTCACATGTGCTAGGCAAGCCTCTACCGCTGAGCCACAATCCCAGCTCTGGAATTGCTTTCTTAATTTCCTTTTCAAATTGTTCAAATCTCATGTTTAGAAATTCAATTGATGTTTGTGTGTTGATCTTGTACCCTACAGACATAGCTGAATTTATTAGCTTTGGTACTTTTTCATCCATGTTTCTTTTGGATTTTCTATATATAGAATTATGTCATCTTAAATAGAATTAGTTTGACCTTTTCCTTTCCAAATTGGATGCATTTATTTATTTATTTATTTACTCAATTATTTATTGACTGATCTTCTAATACCTCTGGCTAAAACTTCTACTGCATTATTGAGTAGTAATCATAAAAGCAAGCATCCTTGTATTTTTTCTGACCTTTGGAAAAAGCTTTCTGTCACCATTGAATATGCTATCAGGTGTGGGTTCTTCATAAATAAATATAATTTTTCCTAATTTTCTGAGAATTTTTATCAAGAAAGGGTGTTTTATGTATGTGAGTGTTTTTTTCCTTTTGCTAATTAACGTGATATATTACTTTCTTTCATTTTCTTATGCTGAATTCCTATGATAAATTTTATTTGATTTTAAAAAAATTTTTCATTGTAGATGGGAACAATAGCTTTATTTATTTTTTGTGGTACAGAGAATTGAGCCAGTGCCTCACACATGCTTAGGCAAGTGCTCTGCCACTGAGCCACAACCCCAGCCCTGGTGTTAATTCTTTATATGGTTTGTATATAAGGTGTTCCCCAAAAGCTCCTGTGTTAATGCAGGAATGTTCAAAGGTGAAATGATTGAATTAGGAGAGTTATGATCTAATCAGTCCGTTCTAGTTTGAATAGGCTAACCGGGTAGTAACTGTAGGCAGTTGGGGTATGGCTGAAGGAGGTGGGTCACTGGAGGAAGGCCTTTCCTAGAAGGGTTCATCTATCCTGTGGTGCTCCCAAACTCTACCCTACCTGC